AGCAGTCTGAAGCACCACATTCAAACACCCCAAAAAGGACCCGAGCGGGGACCAGCCGAAAACCAGCACCAGCTGGGGAATAGCCCCAAATACGCGCAAAAAATGCCCACCTGGGCGGGTGCCCTTCCCCACACCCCTAGATGCAACCTTTCGGTTGGTAAGAAACTCGGCTAGCCACGGAGGCTAGCTTTCGTGATTGGTACTGCCGGAGAACAGAATCTCAGAAGTAGTTGTCAAACTCATTGTGGGACAAGGTCTGGTCTTCATGACATGTCCAAGACAAATCGAAGCTACACAACATACTCCATTTGAGAATATTGCTACTTAGCTCGGCCTGTTCGAAGGATCTCGAACAGCTCTTCGTAGTCAACCTCTTCAGCCGCAGGCCTTTGACACAGTGATGCTCTGTGATGCTCCTGATGGTGCTGCCCAACCGGGTCTGAGCTGGGTCTCTGAGCGGACGACGGGGCAGGCGAACTCTGCAGTGGTTGCCTTCTTGCCTCCCTCAGCCATGCACAAGAAAGCCCAATGCGAATCTGATGTTGAAGTCATTGCCTCTATAGACCCAGTGAAGCCTGGCTGCGTTTCAGTCGTGTGTGCTGCCTTTGGCAAAGATGATGCCAAACCCGGAGCTTCATAGCCGTCGTCCTCGACTGAGAATGAGGCTTGCCGTAAGAAAGCGTTGTTTGACACAATTCTTCAGTTTGAGATGCATGTACAAAGTGCACGCCTACAAACGCAGAAATGTAGCGAGAACCTGCCCTTCCCCTCAAACCTCTGGAATGCACCCAGCTGGACATGGGCGGAGCGCCATGCCAAGGCTCTACATGGTACGGACAGGCCAAAGCCACTTTCTGAATGAGAATATCTTTCGACCGGCCCCGGATTTTCTCATGTTGCCTCTTGCCTTGTAGCACGTGATCTGTGGCTGTTTGAGCCCGAGAAGGACAACAGTGGCGCGGCTGAACCGGGGCCAAACAGACAGAACACAGCCTTGTTTCACTGGGGAGCACTGACCTGGATGTTCTTGATGGCCATTGTGCTGAACCTGGGTTCGCAAAACTTGTGTCAAGAGCGCACACAAAACGTCAGCCTTACTCTGGCGGTTCCAGCCAACACGACACTGTGCTTCTCTGTTACAGCTGGGTCCCAGGGCACTTTGAACATCAACATCGGAAGCCCCAGCGCTTTGTACAGCAACAGCAGAAGCACCTTCAGAGCAGAAGCAGCGTGTCAATAAGCTCGAACACGCAGGCTGCATGAAAGCGCCTTGAAACCGAAAGCATGCTTCTGCTCTGTTAGCCCCAACTGCGCAAGCCTCGGACAAAGGAGCAAGTGCGTTTGTGCGAGAAGCTGGAGACTTTTAACCAGTCGCTAACCTCTTCATCACTACAGTTGTCACTAGGCCCAAATGACAAAGCCTCAGGCACGACGGCATCAAGAAGATGCTGCCGATCCGCTGCCTACACGATGGAGTCCAAAGCTGTTGCGGCATGCCAGATCAGTGCACGCTACAGCCTTGTTGGGTGACCACCTGTCTGCCTCAATTAAAGCCACCACCTCGGACGACAGATAACCCTAGCTGCCCTAGCTTTCAGGAAACCGTGCACCTTCACCTGGCTTGGTCCACCAAGGCTGATGCTGCCAGCTGCAGCAGGGCTTCAGGACTCTTGTTCTCGGCACCCGAACCACCTGTTCAGAGAGGTTGCGAAGCGACTGACTGGCTGACTGGCCCTAAACACTCCTCAAACTGGCCTCCGAATCGAATCCAAGTCTCCACTAAGCGGCAGGCTTCGGCTTCCTTTCACGAGGCACAGCACCCAGGTGCTCTTGATGCTTCAAAATTCAAAGTGCAGGTCGCTGGCAAACGCCTCCGCCACCGACTGCTCGGCAGCGGCCTGGAGCAGATCCGGAACTAAAGCTGCTTCTCACGAGCACTTCAGCGTCCCTCGCCCTCGAGGCTCCCGCGGCGTCCATCCCCTCCGTTCTTCGGAAGGATCTCCGCAACCTAGCCTCCAGCACTGCTGCCTCCCGATCCTGCACAGCCAAGTCGAGACAGCTCGAACAGCTCGCGCTCGCTCGCGCTCGTCGACTGCCTCACCAGCTGCCGCAGACAGGAGCGGCGATGCGTCCGCCGCCTCTGAGACTTCGACAGCCAGAGAAAACGATGTGTGATCTTCCCTCAGAATCTCGCAGAGAGACATGCGAGGTGCGGCTTCAGGTCGAAGAAGCAGTGGGCCCTGTCAAGAGCACAGCTCCGGACCCTTTCAGACATGCAAAGCCCAGGCCTTCCAGCAAAATGCTGCACGAAGGTGCTCATGACCCGCACCATCTCCTCAATCGCAGCTTGAAAGGACGTGGATGAGAAAGAGAAAGCCGAAAAAGGTGCAGGCAAGAGCCTCTGGTGTGACTGCAAGGATTAACAATTCTCACTGTTATCATCCGGCTCCTGGACATCTGCAGCGTCGACCGCAACTGAGTCAAGCTGTGTCCGCGCCAGTGCACACCTCTCTGGAACGTCATGGCACTTAGAACGGCAAGGCTTAAACTCCCGGCCCCTTGCTGCACTGTGAGCCTTCGCAGCTCGAGCTCACCAAGGAAGGCGATACGATTCACGCCACTCCCACCACCCGTGCTCTGTCCCTGCTCCTCCAGACAGCAAGAACTGCGAGGAGTTTTGCCTTACCTTCACCTTCTGTTGACGTCACTGAACCCACTCCTCCACTTGTTGCAGGTGTCGGAACAGCAAAAGGGCATTCCGTGCCTCAGCTGCCACAACTGGTCTGTTGCTGTCAGGTGGAGGCACTGGCCTCATCCTGTGTCCAATTGGATTCCAACTCTTCAAACGAGACAACCTCGGGCCGCAGGCTGACTTTGGTGCCGGCGCTGCACATGAAGCGGGCAGCTCAGATAGCAGACAACTCAGCATCTCGACAGAGGGAAGCATCCCGGAAAATCGAGAAGTGTGGCCCTTCGAAGCCTGAAGCTCTGCAAGCTCTGCAGGACAGGCTCCAAGTCTTGACTATTCCGCGAGTGCCCAACATCAAAGCCATCTGGTGAAGGCAAGTCGAAGACAAGCCGAGCATAGTCCTTACACGGCTTGGTCCGCCAAGACATGAGTACGCGAAGCAGCCGCACCGATAAGCTCTGGAAAGGAATTGCAAAGCCCCGCCCTGAATTTCATTGGAGCTCCTGGGCAGAGGCCCAGCTGCCAGGACTGGCAATCACCTGAGCTCGAGCCTCAGAGCCAAAGCTGCTCTGGTCTTGGAGGCTTCCTGCGAGATTCTCGCGCCTCGAGAACACCCTCTTGACACCTGCCAGCCTCGAGGCGAATTCAGCAGTTCTGAAACGAGATACTGCTGCACTTTGCAGCGCCTCCCAGAGAAGTTGGACCTGTGGCACGGGGCTCCGGCGGTGCTTGGGAGATGTCTCCGTGTACAAGTCTGGGCTCGACACGCGAAGAGCCGAGAGGTCCGAAGGCAGCTTCAGCAACGGCTTGCCGGCCTGTGTGGCGACCCAGGCAAGGACGGGTGAAGGAAAGCAGGATGGGCAAACGGAGTTGTGAGAAACAGACAACAAACAAGCAGCTCAAGAAACCTGAACAAGTAATCCCAGAAAAACCCTGCTGCTAGCAACTGCTGGCAGCTGCAGTCTCAACTGGTAGCAGGCAGCAGGCCATGTTAACGTAGAAACACGTCCCATATTAAGCGGCCTCCAGCATCTCGATGGCCTCCGCCTGCGGCACAGGTCAAAGCTTCACAAAACGCCTGAAAAATGACACGTGCCTTTGCTAATGGGACAGCACGCTGCTCAGCTGCTACCCAACAATCGCTTTATCTCACATCGCCTGCTTCTTTTGCAGCTGAAGCGTGCTGAGGTGCAGGAAGAAAAGATAAAGGACTCCTGCCGGAAAGAGTATCAGAGCTGCTTCCAGAACGCAGCAAGGACCCTCTCCCTGGCCTCGATTGAAGGGCATGTTTTGCAGGCCATCGAGACCGAGGGGCGCCTGGTAGCCCCAAACCACGTTCCCCCTGTCATATAGCCGAATCCTTAGCACATAACCCCAAAATCGGGGGCATGCTCGGCCCCTCGGGGCAGGAGGAGACCCTTTGGTGCATCCTTCGGTGGGGCTGAAGGATCCCTGAACGCTACGGACTGGGGCTGAAGGATGTTTCGATTTCCTTCAAGCCCACATGGATCGGGGCTGGAGGATGCTTGGAAATCCTGCAGGTCTCTTGGGCGGGCCTGACCAGGCCCAATTGCAAACTGCACTGTGGCAGGAGCGCGATTCATCAAGTTCGGCAACGCCAACTTTCAATCTCATCGGCCGCAGCGTGCGCCGAGCGCAAGGGCTTCGCGATACACAAATCACGTCCTCTTTACCCTGATGTAAGAACCCTTTTATGTTGCTAGACAGTTTAGGGAAATACGTCAATTCGCAAGGTGTCTTTGCCGTCTTTGCCATTCAGGGCCCCCTACTCACAAGTGGCTTTCTAAGTAGGCCGAGATCTCACCAGTTGCTGCCAAGGCCAAGGGTTCTTTGCAAATAGATGGGCTGTTCGACGCGCCTTCTGCAGCATCATCGCCGCCAGGTCCAACATCTTTGGCGGCCCACCGAACTGCCAGAAGAGGCTACTACCAATGAGTCCTATGCCACTATGCGTCGTGTGTTCACGAAGCCGCGAGGTCTTCGAAGCCGACAATCCGATGACACGAAGCCATGACAGGCGCACCCGAACTTGCAGAAGAATGCTGGAAATGACCTGGGCAAATAGAGCGAGGGCACCAGGCAAGGACATGAACCGAGCAGGCTCAGAAAATGGCCCAAAGAAGGTGCTGCACCTTCTTGAACTTGGCGTACATCTTGGTAGCCACCTTGTCCGAATTGGATCCACGGCGGTGCGCATGTCTGATGAATGTATGCTCCACATTTCCACAAGTGCCTGCTGCGCCTTTGCAAACTGGTGCAAGCGGTTGTACGTGTAGAAGAGAAACGACCCGTACCTCAGAAAGACTTGTTCAACAACGCTGTCCAGATATGATATGCCTGCTGATGAGCCCTGAAGCTATAGTACCTTCCAGATGCCTCACGGCATGCACCTTTGCCAGCCTACTTCGAGAACACAGCTCATTCGAGACCTCTTGTGTTCCCGACTGCGAGTTAAGCACTGCATGTTTACCGGGGGGTAGGCTCTTCCATGTCCGGCTCCCTGTTGAAGGCAGCCTCATCGAGACTTCCCCCGCTTTGCACCAGCGACATGGAACATGAGCCATTGCTGCCATTGCTCCTCTGGCTGAGTTTGGGATTGCGCTTTTGTGTTTCGTCATGCTGCCCACACACTTCCCCTATCTCGTCCCACAAACTTCCCCCGAGATAGCACGGAGAGCCCAAAGCTCACACTGCAATCCCTGCACGCTGACTCCTTGCCGCCCCCAAGCTCTGCTGAAGCCGCAGTTTCTCTACAAGTACATACCCCGAGCCCAGACAGGCACTTTTCCCAAGCGTTGGAACAAGTCTCGAACCCTTTGAAATCAGGAAAAGAAAAAGGCCCTGGTGTACAGCTGCGGTACCTCGTACATCTCAGCGACAGCCTCCCAGTTCCTGCAGCGTCTGAAAGCCACCTGTCAGCAGCTGGGTCGCCCCAGCGGGCAGGCATAGACGTCATAGCCTCATAGGCCTCTTGCCTGTAGCGTGTTGAGACAGGTCTCGTCCATGAACGCAGCTCCGCTGGAGGCCGCAGCACCTCTTTCTGAGTGGTCTCATATGATAATAATCCGATTATCATGTCATCTCTCGTTTTGCAGCGCTGAGGTCGGCTCCAGCGTTGACAGTCTCTTGGCAGAGCTGCACCGCCTGTAGTAGCGTGGACCCGCACTCAGAGGTGCCCCCCTCGCTGCGATCTGCCATAGCTGGCCGCCTCGTCTTTCCGACCGCAGCGCTCCAGCGCGATGGCGTGAAGCGCTCGAACGAGCCTCGGTTGAAGAGGAACTCACCGCTGCACGCTGGGATAATGCCATGAGGCTGCGGCGAATGTGCTGGCTGCTTCTGCAGAAAGGTGGCACAAAGCTTACATGCCTGACGCTGTCAGCTTGACTCCTTGACGCGGCTTTCCACTGGGAAACGCCGGCTGCAACGGCCACCAGGGACATGACATTTTTGTAGTTTCCATGGTCTAACGCGTCGTAAATGCCCTTCAGCTTCCCAGACCTTTGGTTGTGCACAGTTTCGATTGGGGCTAGCCTCTGACCCAGCCAGAAGTCAAGAGTTGTGAGCCGCGCACATGTTCAAAACGGCTAAGATGCCGCGACCCAAGCAGCCTGACACTCAGACCACTTACTTTCGACAGGTTGTCTGCAAGTAGAGATCTGACCTCGGCCATGGGCCCCTGCTGAGACCCCACCCGAGCCAAAATGCTGCTGTTTTGAAGAGGATCAAAGACGGCGAGCCTAGATACTGAGGAGTGCGAGGCAGCTTTCGCGCGCGCGCAGCTTTTTCAGCTTCAGAAAGTTGGGTGCCCGCCTTCGGGAGCAATCTGCAAGGGGGAAGGCAGTGTTGAAACAGAGTGGTATAGACTTAGTCTTGGTATCGTCTTGGTTCGTACACTAGCATCAGCATGAGCAACCGGACTCTGCCGAGTAGACTTTGACCTAGCCTGAACATGCTAGCGGCTAGGCCCAAGGTGCGGAGAAAGGCTTGTAGCCAACATCCCGCTCAAGCGGAATCGAACGAGCCTCTTGCGGATAGCACGCTTGAGGCTTCTAGAGAAATCTTCGAAGTTCTGTCCTCAGGCCACTTAAGCTAGTGACGTCTACTGCCTCTCAGGCTCCTTCCTGCTCAGATCACGGAGCCTGCATGGAAAACAAGAACTTTCACGAAGGCTTCAAGTCTTCGAGTCTTCAAGGGTCAGTTTCCACGACCAGTCACCAAGCCTGACGGCTCACTCGTCATCTTCTGGAATCGGGTACACGTAGGGATTGTGGCGATACAGCTTTCCCTTGCCAGCACATCGCACGCGAAACATCACGAGTTGTCAAGCATACCTCGTGACAAAGCTGCAACCGAAAATGCTGAGTTTCCCTAGTCACAAGTCGAACCTGGTTGATATGGTCCCACACGTGATCCCACATTCGGCTCCAGCAGTACCTGGACAAATCTTTGCAAGGATCAAGGCTTGAAAGCAGCCGCCCCCACTGCTTTCAAGGCAGAGCACCCGCCGATGATGCTGGTCCAAACAATGAAGCCGTAGAACCGGGGAGAGCTCTTCAGGAAGGTCTGCACCAAACCATGATGGAAAGCAGGCGCACGCAGTGTGGGGTGGGTGGGTTTGTTTGGTCACCATCTGCGAAGATCAAGCAATCAAGCAGCGGTCGCAGCCTCGTATATGCGGGTCGAGTTGAACGCGCGGAAAAACCAATCCATATTGTCCTGCCAGGGTGAATATACACGTGTACTACCAGGACATCCCATCAGACCCGAGCTGGCCTGGCCCTCGCGCCGATTGGCTGCCCACCGCTCAATCCAGGCCTCATCGAAGTCGAAGCAACGCAACAACTTGAACTGTCGTCTCTTGCTGGCATGGCTGAAGGAAGGAATGACTCTGCCTGGCAGGGTCAGGGTCAGGGTCAGGGTCAGGGTCAGGGTCAGGGTCAGGGTCAGGGTCAGGGTCAGGGTCAGGGTCAGGGTCAGGGTCAGGGTCAGGGTCAGGGTAAGTAAGTTTTACCAAAAAAAGACAACCTCAGAAAAGCTTTAGGCATCACGTTGACCCTCCAAGTGCCCTTGAGCAGGTCGGCAGGGCGTCGGATCTTTGCCAGATTTGTGGGAAGGGTGTCGAGCCTCAGTGCCCCCTGTGCTCACCGACCTTAAACTGTACATCACTATGTCAGACCCTAGGAGATTGTGGCTTGTTTCCCAAGACGTTGCTGTTCACCAAGTGTCGCACTGCAATTGTTCACCAATGCTTACGGCAAAGAGAGATCCCAAACGGCCCAAACTGCGTGGGCCCCGAAACTGAGCCCTCCGCAGGCTCATGATCCTTTGGCGACCCGAAGCCTCCACGCCGCGGTGCCGAGCGAAGCGCCAAGCGCGCCTGCCAGACTGTACGTGGTTGAAAACAGACGTTCTTTCTCACACAACCCTCTGACCTGACGGAAAAGAAAGACACATAGGCTTGTAAGGTTGGACACAAATGGAGCTACTCCGACTTCCTCAGCAAGGCGTAAACTAGACTTGCGCCTGGGAGCGTCTCAGCATGCCCAGCATACTCACCACAACCCCGAGGGTGGACAAGGCCGGCTGAGCCAAACACTGCAGCTTGCAGCTTGCACTCGCTACACAGCCTTGCCTCTACAGTGCTCACACAAGCAAGAAAGAAAGCCACGACGGGGCAGAGCAGCAGTCCACTAGTAGCAGAGTCCAGGGAAAGCAAAGAAAAGGCAACCGTAGCATGAAGGATGCTGAGGTATCATGTAGAACAACTATTTAGCAACCATCAAGGGCTTTCTTACTAATTACTGTATTCAGACGAAATTCCCCAACAAAGATCAATGCGTGCAACACCCCCGCGTCAGCCCTAGACACGGACCGACTGCCTTTGTCTTTCCTGGCTCCTTTGCGCCGCAGGTCTGTTGTCGCGATGTTAGGGTGGCTTCCTCAGAAAGCTTCCCTGAAACGTGGCGGCTGCTCGCCATCTTACCGGCTGGCATTGAGCACGGCTTCCGCTTGAGGCAATGCCTCCATAAAAACCAGGAAACGGTCTAAAACCAGGCCGGCACTCAACCAACCAAGTGCTCAATGTGACTCAATGCATGGCCAGGCCGGAACCCCTGGCAAGAACATCTCCGTAATCATCGTGGACAGGGTTTGAGGGATGGCAGCATTGATTGGGGGAAGTGAAGCTAGAGCCAACGGAGCCAACTATATTGTGGGAGAAATCTGGAAAGGATTATCCGAAACCTGCGCCAAAAGCGAGTTCGGCCGACTCCCGCACAGATCTGCGGCGCTGTGCTTGTACCCAGCACTCAGCAGGACTACTCCGTGAGGGTGGTTTGAGAATTCATGAAGGACACTTGCTTCGCCGTCAAAGGCAGCTGACTGCACGTGCAGCCAAAACAGGCTGCAAAATGCTGCGTTTTGGAGGCATCTACGATCAGCCGAACGGCGAGATGCTTGTAGCTGATAGCCCGTCTTACTCAAGTTCCTGAAGGTCTGTCTGCAAAAGGAAAGAGTAGAGCAATTGAGGAGAGTGCCAACTACTAACCATGAGCTACAATGCTCATCTGGAGGCTGGATCATGTGCTTGGCAGAGGAGCCCTTGGACCTTTCGTAGGGATTGCTCTCTGACTTGACAATCAGGGTTCTTGTCGACGTTATCTTGTGTTCGTGGGAGCTCCGACTAAAGTACTGACAGGAAAAGCCCGTTGCTTCGTCGTTTTGCATGCAGAGTCACGGATAATCAAATGCCGACACTTGCCCCGCTGTCTCGTAGACAAGCCTTCAAGTTGGAGACTTGCGCCACAACATCCCTGGAGGCTCACGTTACTGCATTTCTGCGAAGGCTAAAAACCGGGCT